ACTCCTGCCCCTACCGACACATGTACCTGCCACTAGGGAAGACGTCCGTGTTTGTCTCATATGTGAGGAGGAATTCTAGCCCAGGACTTTGGGTCCACACCCCCTACAAGTGGCTTACTGTGGTTTGTATTCCTAAAGCAAGCAAACATCCAAAGCAATAAATATTATTTTGTATGGTTATTTCAGTCCAAAATATTGAAAATAATGTGATGTGGTGCTGCAACAAAGCAATTTTTATACAACATGAACTAAGGGTATGCATTGTATGCCTTGGGATGTAGCATGTGAGTATACATGGATGGCTGTTTGTTGTTTGAATGTGTAGAGGTACCAAAGGAGGATATTCTCTGAGCACAGAAAGGCACCAGATACCAGGCATGGGCTTTTCTAAAGAAATTAGACAATATTGCCACATTGTGCTGCTTGAAGGTGAAGCATGCGAAGGTGAACAAAGGTGCCGAGTTTTGTCAAGAAACTGTAATTACATTTCTAAAAGGCATTTCCTCTCCTTTGGACATTTATTAGGACACATAGTAACGCTCATTTGTATTCAAATCGTTTGAAATGGATGTATGTGAGGTGAAAGCGTGTGACTGACAGCTTCTGCTTGAAGAAGACTTCATGGAAGGAACCTTGACTTTATCAGTTCACTCCCCCCTCCTTCTCTTTATTCTAAGTGGCCCAAGTGTGCCACCCTGCAGAGCATATTGTAAATCCTGGCTTTGATTCATTGATAGTCTCAGCAGCTTAAGGCAGCTGCAAACCCATTGTACCTGTCCAGTTGAAGTGCTTTTATGGCCGCTGTACACAGCTAAAGATTTGCAAGCCAGCAATGTGTGCCAGTAAATCAACCTCTGTCAGTTTTACCAGGCTTTTTGAGAGAACAAGAAGGATGCTACTGCTTTACTTCTTAACCTTCAGTGTTTTTAAGAGCCTTTTGTCATTCAGAAGTTGTGCCCAAATGCTCGAGGTTTAATGCAGGATTTATTACTCATCTTTATTGTTTCGGTTCTGTTTTGTGGTTTATTAAAGTCCATAGAGTTTGAAACAGCCACCTGTGTATAAATCAAGCTATATAAATAAACCACCTTCTACCAGAGGAACATAATATTTAGTGTTTGTCCACAAGGGAAAATGTTCTGATATAAGTGGGAATGTCAACTGGAAACGCAGTGGCTATTGTACCTCCAGCGCTTGAGGATGCTCCTATTCTGTGCTGAGTGCTTCCTCGTGCCTCAGCTTAGTTTGACTTGGAAGCAGAGTCAGATAAACCACAGAAAAGTGCTCAGGGGATAGCAAGACCTTTTCCAGACTGACCTTGAGGTAGTGGGAGCCAGAGACATGGAATGGACAGGGTAGGGAATAGCTGTTCTGTTACAGCTCTGCCAGGTTGTTTCCTCCAGATCTACTGTTTACGTATGGTCCATTTCCCAAATACCTGCTCGTCCCTTCCTGGTAGCTCTGCATGATCCGTTCTTGTGAAGCTGATTATTTTCTTTTGATGTTTGAATGCACAGGCACAGGCTGTGTCTGCTTAAACATCCACAGTCACCAAGAGCAGGGAGCTGGAAAGCAAGGACAATAAAACCAGCAAAAAATTATACATCTGAATCATCACAGAGAAACAGATCGGTCAGCTTCGGTCTTTAAAGAATTAATTCATTCAGCTGCTATAATGCTAATACAGCTTAGACCAGGACTTTTTGTTATGTCTCTACAGAACAAGATGGATCTTGACCAAACCTAAGTGATGTGTGTGTGACATTCTTGGCCATGTGTGATGCCTCTTAAAAATCCCATCAAAACAGTCAACATCAGTGGCACATGGAAGCTCCTTTACTTACAGTTTAAAGATAGCTGCCTTTCATTTTGGTCCCTGTGTCCTCTCTGGCCTTTGCTATCCTCCTGCTACAGAAGCCAGAAGCTACCTGTTAAAGAGGAACAAACTCTATTCCTTTGGGTAGGTGAGCAATTGGTTTAGACACTATAGAGATATGAAAAGTGAGAATTGGGCTGGAAGTTAATTTATTCCATGCAGAAAAGCCACAACATGTTGTGTGGAATGCCCTGCATCAGCTGAACTGAGATGTACACAAAAAGCAGGTTAGAGCTCTCCATGCTTTCTGCTGCCAAACTGTGGTACCTCTGGTATTTTCAGACTGTACAGAGACCAGTTACCCGTGGCTGTAGGGGAAAGATGCCTTGAACAGTCATTCAGAAAATCTTACATGACTGGCAGTGCCTGCTACAGCTCTGCTGAAAAGCACTTTTGCACTTGTTAGAGGAATGACAAGGAAATGTGGAAACTCCAGCTACATGCTGAAGTTCATTTCCATTTTTTAAAGCCAGAAATCTGGATTTAGATGCCAGTCTCCAGAAGCTGCTAACAACAAAACAAAGCAAGTGGGGAATTGCTGCCCTTTTATTTCAGGTGAGAAGTTGTAACTGTCTTTGGCCTTTTACTTGAAAAAGCTTGCAATTAAGCTAAAATTTTCGTCTTTTTACTGCTGCTGCCTCTCCTCCCACGACTCCTGATGCAGCTGAACCATAAGGTCTGTAGTAATGAAAGGCATCCTTTTACTCTGTCAATGCCATTGTTTATTTTATCTCTGCAGCTCACACCAGGTCTTTGAATGAAATGAAAAACAGCCCTGCTCTTATCAGCACAGGGCAGAATCAGCCGGGAAACCTGTGGTATTGCTCTGACTTGTGCTGTGTCTTCATGCAGCTGAAGTGTAACGCTGGCAGGCACTGGGTGCCTTCCGTATCCCTTCGAGTCATCCGAAAAAGAAAAGGCACTTCAAAGCATTCCCCAGTTCCCTCGAGGTGTTTGGCATCCCCGATTACTCAGATGTGGCTCACCAACTCATACCTTTTTCGACTTTTCCTGGAGTCCTGGAGTTTGCACCTCACCCATTGGCTTCTCATAGCCCAAATTCAAGCATTTAGGGCTTGTGCAGCAGAAAGAGAAAGGGCAATACCACAGGCTTTCCACCAGCTTCTGCCCTGGACAGATAAGAAACAGCATTTTTGTAAATTGGCCTAAGGCATTGCCATGACTCAGTTGAAAGCTGTGCAGATAAAATAAGCCACAGTGTTGTTAGAAAAAAAAAAGAGTTTTGTAGAAGCTCCAGAAGCACCAAAAGAATGAATTTTTTGAAGAGAATAATAGTCTAATATTATTATTACTGCTATTGTTATTGTTTTGTATTATGCCTGGACGTCACAGCCTCCCTGTAGGACTGGAGCTTTTATGCTGGGCACTGGAAATGTGTGAAATGAAGAGACAGCCAATGCTTTTTATAGGGCTCCCAGCCTAAGCACCAGAGTGGGAAGATGGGAAAGGAAGGGAAGTAGAAGGAGGTACCATTGAAATGCTAATGTTGAGAGGATGAATTTCAGGACTCATCTGTGAACCAGTAAGGACATTCTTGGGCACACAGGGGACAAGCATCATTCTCACATCGTAAGCAATTCTTCTCTAAATATTTTTTTTATTCTTCAGAAGCCAAATACAGCATCTAGGATTTCTGTTCAAAGATGCAAAGGGGACTGAAGCTCCCAGATTACAGTAACTTTCCACGGGAGTCAGACTCCTAGCTGCTTTTATCCAAACAGGGCTGTTATCTCTCCCTGCTTCACATCTCCACTTTTGCTGTCTTCACAGCACATCATCCCTTTTGCTGTCTGAACATCGCCTGTCTTGGAGTGACAGCATCCATTTGGGGGGAGGGGAAGAGACAAATATTTCAAAAAACACCAAAACCAACAACCAAAGAAATAGCAGCTGTTTGATTTTGTTCAGACTCTAGCAGCATTTGCACAGCTCCCTGAGGAAATGGCTCAGTGGGCTTCGATTAGACAGAGCAGTCCAAGGGGAATGGACTTCATCACCTGGCTTTGTTGTTCATGACAGGGCAAGGATGCAGGAGAAGACAAAGTGTGCACAGCTGCTGTTGCCTTCAGGGCTGTGCATGGAGAGGGCAGCCTGTAGTGATTCGCAATACCGTGAAGGGACCTCTGCAGTCCTGCAGGGTGAACCACATCTCAGGGTGCTTCATATTGGTGTCTCTCAGTTCCTAATTTGTGTCCATCATTCCTCTGGCCGTTGCCATGGAAAGTCTTTTTAGCATTTAGGCTGCGCCAACTGTATAAGATTACAGGGAGAAAAGAAAAAGATGCAATGAAAGATTACTGTCAGACCTACAATAAAAATTTATCTTATCTCCTAAAACCAGTATTTCACAGCCTAGTCAGAAGCCAGTACCCAGAACACTTTTAATTCTCTTAAGACAAACAGGACAAGACCACTCTTAAGCTATCCCAGAAAAGAAAGACAAGGTGTCATTTTGATCATAGCTGATAAAAGCCTTTGCCAGGGTGGCAGGAACCAAGGAGCAAGTCTGGAGGTCACTACAGGGGGGCCAAGATCCAAGAATATAAGGAGTTATGCTTTTGTTCCTACCAGGTTTCATGGGACAGCTGGAGGAAAGGAAATGTGTTACATTTTTGGCTGAGGTTGCTTTGAATGATGGAGGGAATTCAGATTAGAGCAACTGCAAAATCCTGTGTAGCACCAGTGCTGCTCTTCCCCTGCCCTTCTTTGCAGGGGCCCTGTAAAGGTGTTGGCAGCACAAATGCCAGAGCCTGGCAGACCACAGTTTAGTTCCTGAAAGTCAACATTTGCAAGATGAACACTTCACACAGCATCTTTTCTTCATGTAGTCCCAGTAAAATATGGCAAGAAGAGGACTAGCATTGTGCTGCTTCTGAAACTTGACATGCAATATTTTTATTTCCCCTGTGTAAATTCAGTTTGCTTTGGGTTGTCGATCAATTGTAGCTCTGTTAGTGGTCACTTGTGTCCTGTAACCACTTATTCTTTGAGAAATGATCTGTGTATAGCGAAGAGTGTTTTATATCTTTTTTTTTTCCTTGGAGATTGGAAATGAGTTTTTTATTAATTTGTTTAACCTCTTTTTTCTCTAATCCACCTTCAGGTATCTCCATGCCCATACCTGTCTTTGGACTACAAGATGACTCCAAAGTGTTTAAGAAAGACAGCTGCTTACTTGCAGATGACAATTTTGTTCTAGTAGGCTCCTTTGTGGCATTCTTCATCCCCCTAACCATCATGGTGGTAACCTACTTTTTAACTATCAAGTCGCTGCAGAAGGAAGCTATGCTATGTGTGAATGACATCGGCCCAAAGACCAAGTTTACTTCATTCAGCTTCCTCCCTCAGAGCTCCCTGTCTTCAGAAAAACTCTTCCAGCGCTCTTTGAACAGAGACCTGGGCACTTCTGGGAGGAGAACCATGCAATCCATCAGCAACGAGCAGAAGGCTTCCAAGGTTCTTGGCATTGTCTTCTTTCTGTTCGTTGTGATGTGGTGCCCGTTTTTCATCACCAATGTGATGGCCGTAATTTGCAAGGAGTCATGCAATCAAGAAGTCATTGGAGAACTCCTTAATGTATTTGTTTGGATTGGCTACCTTTCTTCGGCTGTCAACCCACTCGTGTATACGTTGTTCAATAAAACTTACCGCTCGGCTTTCTCCCGTTACATTCAGTGTCGCTACAAGGAGGAGAAGAAACCCTTCCAGCTGATTTTAGTGAACACTATCCCCGCGCTGGCATATAATTCCAGTCAGCTCCAGCTAGCACAAATGAAGAGTTTGAAAAAAGAGGCAAAAATGATGGCTAAGGATTATGCGACGGTCACAACAGGAATACATCATTTGGATGGTACCTCCAAGGGAAGTATCAGCCCAGCAAACGAAACGGTTAGCGGTGTGTGACGGTCAGAAGCTGCCATGACAACCACCGTGTGTACGCTGAGAATTTCTCCAGGCTGTGAGCAGCTCTGATGGCTTAGGAAAATCTGCCCTGTTCAAGAGACCCTACAATAACATCACATACTCCTCACATTATCCTGTGGATGAAAAGCAGGGTTGAAATAGTATCAAATGTGCAATTTTTTCTCGTACAGTACTTTGGCTGTTTTAAGCACAGGCTTTATTAAACTTATTTTTTTAATATTCTAAAGGATATATTTCTTAAAGAAAAAAAATGCAATTTCTGGTATTATAACATGGACTGTGAAGAAACCTACGCATTTCTTTTCTCTTTGCAAATGAAAGCTAAGCTGTCCTTTGATGTCCTTGCAGAGTAGGCTCCAGCTAGTTTGTCTTGCTACAACAGAATTTTGTTATCATTATACTGAATGAGCACTTTACAGAATTTTAAATAAAATTATGGTGAATTTGCTAATATATATTTAAAATAAATTTTAAAGTATTACAAAAAAATCTATTAAAACCTGTATAGATTAATTATATGGACATTTTGGTAACAGTGTTTTTATGGCTATTTTTTTCTTCTGAGTGACCATTCTGAAATGTTATTAGGTTTTTCTGCCATTTGTTCTATAGTTCAAATTAGCAGTCTTCAAAGAAAAATTATACTTGAATGATCCCTTGTTTCTACTACCATTCTTAATCTTTATTTCATGTCTTGTACTTTATTTCCATTCAAAATGTTTTATCTGTTCAGCTTAAAACTTGAAAGTAACTTTTTCAAAAGTAATTATTGGGCTTGATTCCCTGCTCCTTCCCACTGGTGTGGACAGGGAAGTAAAGCGAGAGAAGAGTGGAAAATCAGGCACAAGTCTGCTAAATAATTTCAGGAACGATTCCACATCCATGTCTCTGTTCGATTCCAACAGAGTCTGATTTAAGTAATGTCAGTGGAAGTTTTGCTAGAGCAAAGCCTTCAGTAAAAGGTTGCAGCAGATCCTCTCTCATCATTTCTCTTTGGTTAAAGGCCACTATGAAGGTGTCCTTCTGGTTTTGTTTCAGGGCTTGTAGAGCCAGAATTATTAGAAAATTGTTAGTGGCTCAAAATTGTTTTTCCTGGTTTTGTCGTTCTGCTGTTACGGTAGATTGCTCAGGAACGGTAGGTAGCTTGCACTATTAGGATTCAGCCTTAATGAGACAAGTATGGGTAAATGGGGCCCACTTGAAAAAGAACAGGCCTTATAAGTGGCACTGTATTTCACCTGCATAGCTCCAAGGGCAGAATACATTACATAAAGAACATCAATGCATTGCTTGACAGAAATGCCTAGTCATGAAACTGTTTCCTTTCGGGCATCATTGACAATTTCACAAAGCCAGTGGGACTGAAGGATAATAGAAACGTAAGTGTTGCATCCACCTGTGAAACCTAAATCCAAGCATTTGATTTGTTCCATGAATTTTGCAGCCATAATCATCAGAAGCAGGATGTGTTCCAGCTCCAGATCCTGTCCAGTCTGAGAAAAATCACTGCCTTCCCAGAAGCCAAACTCCAATGCCTTCATCGGTCCTTCTCTTGAAGTTGTTCAGTTTTCACAGACCAATTAAATTTCCACTAAGGCAAAGAAAGCGAGAGACAGGGAGAAACTGAATTCAGATTCTAGCCTACCAGCTGGGGGTCTTTCAAGAGGAAGTCTTTTAGCGTGAAATATTGATCTGTGGTAGAAGAGGACTAAAAACTTGTCTGGGTATTTGGCTGATTTCCAAGAAACTGTTTTTATTGTTCTTTTGCCAGTATGATAACTAAATCTGCCAGTTTTATGAGCTGCTTCCTCCAGCATGGGATAGGTCAGAGCCACTGTGCACAGGTCACACAGGAGCTTGGTGCGCACATGGGGACACTGACTCACTCCACAGCGTTCAGCCTCCATGCCTGGGTCAAAGTGTCATGCTGTAGCTCCCTTGCAGTGATGCCATGATTGGCTTATGCCCTTTAATGGTTTCCCTGCCCTGAAACTGGGAATTTAGGATCACCTGATAAATCAAGTGGTATAAATGCTGTGCTCACTGAGGTGGTATATATGGCCTCTCTTGCTCTGGATGCACTTGATCACCACAACCAAACTGAACAACTTCAGCAGAAGGAAAAATGAACTCACTGCTCCTGCCTCCCTGTGCACACCCTGCTCCCAGCATCGTGTGAGGGGTGTCACACAGGCACAGAAGGGATTTCAGGGGGAATCTGCTAAACACAGCTGAATATGAGGACCACTGTAGTAGTAGGTGGATGCAGTGACTTCCTGCTGTTTCATGACAGGTTTGATAAGGACCCTAAATCAGCGGGTTTAAGCTAAGGACAATGGCCAGCTGGTATCACACAGGCCCACCAGGCAAGGGATGGAGCACTGATGCAGCACAAGTGGTCCAAGGCATCCCACAGAACAGAGTATTCAGGTACCTCTTGGTGTCCAGATGTCTCCACTCCCCAAATGGAGTGATGGTTTTGAGGATTCACCCTCGGGAATGGGCACCCCAGGGAAGAAGTAGGCAAAAGACCAAAGGTCTTTTGTGAGTAGAGGTCTGAGGCTCAGGACCTGCCACCAAACCAGATTGCCTTTGTATGATGAATACTGGCACAGGATTGAAGGTCTCGAACTCTCCCTGTGAGAGGAAAGGAAATGCAGATGCTTCCACCAGTGGAGGAAATTGCTACGTTTTGTGCAATTTGTGCCCATCTTGATGCAAGCATCTCTGGCCTTGCAAGAGAAAGAAGCAGACGGGATGGACAACTTAGGTCCTGTCGCCCATTTTTGCCAGGGAGCAGAGCCTTCCCACATGCTGTATGAAGTATATGGCATCCTGCACTTCTCCAAAGCTCAGTTCCTCCCAAAACTCCTGAGAGTCCAGTTGCTGGTCTGCACAGCCTCTTTCACCAGCTTGTGCTTGATAAATTGTTACTGAGCTTTTAACGTTCACCGGTTATGCTCTCTGTTTACCGCCTGCATTTCGCCCACACGACAGAGCAAATCAGTCCCCCCCTCTTCTCTTTCATTTCACCTTCTGTTCCTTTTTCACAATGTCAAATTGCTCAGGTTGCAAATACTGACAGGAAATGTTTTATGACAAACAAAGAGGGTTTCAATTACTTGCTTGATGTTTCATTAGAAGATGACACTGAACAATATTTTTTTTCCAGCTTATTAAAATAAATTCTGTATTTTGGACCTAAGAGACTTGACAGCACTTCTTTAATTGACAGCTGGAGGTAACATAATACTGATTTTTTTTTTTGCTTAGAAGCAGGGATATCTGATGCCTGACATTTTAATTCTGCGAGCACTCAGGTGGTTTTATTGAGTGATCAGCAGGTTTTGCCTAAGAAGGCAAGAATGCACAGCAGATAAAGACCAATATCTCCAGCTCTTCATGAATGTCTTTGACAGTTTAGTGAGGCCTGATTCTGTCACCTTACACCAAAATATTAATAGATTTTTGTGTGGTTTGCCTTAGTGAGGATGACAGAGTCAGCATTTGAATTTCTTCTACCCACCATGCCAGATCTGCAGGAGGTCGTTCATCAGTAGGGAGCAATTAATAGAGTCATTAGACTTCTGACAGATGACAAAGTTCACCATTTTAAGCCAGAATTTATAGGACTGGGCCCATGCTTGGCATGAACGCTACAGTTTAGTATGACCAGTTTCAGAGCAACACTTCCATCTTGCAAAAAAATGTGATTGTTTTCATTATGCACAAGACTGGAATGGAAACTTTTGTAATTTTCCAAGCAAAAAAAAGAGACAACATTCACACAGACTAGCTCAGAGGTTAGGGCCTTCCCCTACCTTACAGGAAAAGCATGCTGAGTCAGTCTGTTGTATCTACATCCAAAAAACTTGCTTTGTCTGAAAAAAATGTTTTCATCAACAATTTTTCAAGTAGATGGACGTTTTATTACTGCTATGGCTGCATCTGAAAAATGCCCAAAGACATAAGGCTCACCATGTATCTCCTAAGCTGGTGTGCATACTTTATACAGGGTGTGCATACTTTACACAGGTGTGCATACTTTACACAGGTGTGCATACTTTCAGGGTAAAAACTCCTATGTATCTATCCCACCCAGCCAACCATGCACTGTATTTATGTAATTATTGCCAAACAGTGAGATGCATTCTATTTTCAATACCTATGTTTGCTTATGTAAATACATTGAGAAAAATGGTTGCTGTATTTTGTAAATGTTAATGTAAAATGGTGTTTCAATGCTTTACTGTTTTGTCAGATCCCACTGCTAGTAAAGCAGATTAAAATATTTAAATGCCATCAGTTGTTTTATAAACTAGAGGTTTGTTTTAAGTAGTTACTTTGGTTTAATTTCTCCTATACATATCCACAGTACAATATCTGCTGAAGACTAAAATAATTTTAAATATCTTGCTGACCAAAGATAAAGAGCGTGTTGCAGAATTTAACTATCTCAGTAAACTGGTCCAAAATGAGCCATTGCAATCATTCTCTTTTTCTAAGGACAGTCCTTCTTCTACTGAAAGGGTATACTCTTTGGATAAGCACATATAACTTAAAGCATTTCAGTCTCAGGAACAACGTACTTGTAATAGTAATAAGCCAATTAAATTAATTTCACTAAGAAGTTGCACTATAAGATTAAAATTAATAAGCAGCATAAATAAATAGCATTGCAGACATAAATAATACCTGAGTCACAGAAACACAGTGCCATCTATTGGTAGTATTTCCTCTTGCAAACAGTATTATAATAAAAAAACCAAAATTGGGCAAATTCATGAAGGTAAGGAGAGCTGTCTTAAGAGACACATTTCTAGCCAGAGATCTGTGGGGATCTCAGACTGTGAGATCATAGCGGGTGCTCCTGGAGCTGCTTTGCCAAATGCTTCTGCTCTGTCTTCTACCAGTTTGTGCCACAGCTCACCTTTAACACGGGCTGTTGGGCTGAATGGACCTCGGGGCTGTGCAACTCTTGTACTACAACTCAAACAGAAAAACTGATCTGTGTATGACTCTAATTAAGCAATTTTCTATTT